CCGGCTGTCGTGTGTGTTACAGCCCGCACACCGGCTGTCGTGTGTGTTACAGCCTGCACACCGGCTGTCGTGTGTGTTACAGCCCGCCCCTCTAGAGAGCTTTATCTGCCATGTCTGCTGAGGCTACAGGAATTACCACTCTGCCTTTCCATCCGGGATCACTGGCTTCCTCTAATACCTCAGGGCTCAGTGAATATTCTATGGAGCAAACAGCCTGGTTGGGGGTTCCTGTGGTTTCCATTCCTTCATGCTAACCCTGAGATAGCAAAAAGCCTTATTCATTTCTCTAACCTGCAGTGGCATCTCTCTACTTGGGGACCCCAATCCTCAGCCCACTGGGAAAATCAGCAGATGCCTCCAGCCCAGGCTGGACCCTTTGCCTTCTCTTGGGAATTTTCCTCACGGCTTGCACAGCTCTCCAATATCTTTAAAAATATGATTGTTTCCAATTTATGTTTTCCCCTAGGTGTTGCAGTAGGATGGCGAGGCAGTGTGCCCTACCTGCCACATCTTAACCTGCTAGCAGAAGTCTGCTCATGGTTGTTTATGTAAAACTGGCCAACCGTGCCCAGCTCTGATATGCCATCATGGCACCTTCCTACAACATCACCCACTAGCCTCACTTTACACGGGAGCAGACTGTGCTGCGCAGTCTGTGATCCACCAAGGATCACACACCAAGAGAGAGGAGACCTGCAGCCCAAGGCCAGGGAACAGCTACGAAGACAGGGACCTGCTGGAACCCCAGTGCCCCAAATAATGCCCGAAGCATGGTAGGTCCTCAAAACTCCACACTTCGCACAGCACGTACCAGCCTGCGGATGTCGCGCTCGCACTCGCGCTTGATGCGATGCACCTCATCCTGGTGAGCCTGGTAGGCAGCTCGCAGGTCGGCTGCTTTGGCTTTGTCCGCCTGCATACAATTGCTGAGGGCCTCCTCAGCCTGCTTGCGTGCTGCCTTGAGCTCCAGGATCTCCTGCTGCAGCCGCTGGCGCTCGCCATCGAAGGCCCTGCGCGCCTCATCGCGCGCGTCGGCCAGCAGCGCAGTCTTGACTTTGTCCGCGGCACCATCACGCAGCACATTGAGTGTGGCCTGCAGCCGCTGCAGCTCGCCCTCCTTTATCTTGGCCGTACGCGCCGCCTCCTGCTCGTGCTGCCGGATGAGCGCCTCGCGCACAGCCTGCAGCTCCTTAGTCTTTTCCTCGTGCAGCTTGGCCTTGAGCTCGGAGATGTAGGCCGTGTGCCGCCGCTGCTCCTGCTCGCGCTCCAGCTTGGCCTCCTGCAGCCGCTCACGCAGCTTGCCCACCTGCAGCCAAGCGGCGAGAGAGCCAGTCAGGTCAGCGTTGAGGCCCGGGGTGCTGGCTGTGCCTGGGCGCAGCCTCCCTACCCAGGCAACCCTCCCTTTGGGGGTCCCACACTCCCATCCCTCCCTGCTCTGGGCATCCCCACCTGGAATGTTTCCATCTGGTTTCCTGAGATTACCCTGGGGGTGGACAGCACATTTGATACCTCTTCCAATGGGCATATTTATGAGAAAGGACAGTTTACCAGTCATAAAACACACCCAGCAGAAATCATCTCTCTCAATAAAGCTGGGAAGGAATTAAACCAGAAATACATTTCTAATGCCCCCACACATGAACTTGCACTTAGAACAGATGACCAGGCTTCCGTCTTGGGGTGAAGGGGCACCACACTCTAGAGCTGAAACCAGTAAGGGGTGGGCTCTGGCCTACCCCCAAATTAATCTCTCATAGTCCCAGGAAACAGGGAGTCTCCCCAACCCCTGTTCCCTTTTGTCACATGGCAACCAAGGCTCAGAGATAGCGCTAGTGACCCACCAGAATGAGGGGCTGCCAAGGGTTGGTGCTAGCTTCACCCAGTCAGGACACTTGGCCCAGAACCTGTGCCCTGCCAATGCCTGAGTCTGCTCATCTCATCGGCAAACAGTCAAAGCATTATTTGTAAAATGTGCCAAGGGACAGTGGTTTTTTGTTTTGTTTTGGTTTTGGTGACAGAATCTCACTCTGTCACCCATGGGTATAGTGCCATGATTTCAACATAGCTCACAGCAACCTCAAACTCCTGGGCTCAAGCAATCTTTTTACCTCAGCCTCCCAAGTAGCTCAGACTCCAGGCACCCACCATGACAGCCAACTAGTTTTTCTAGTTTCAGTAGAGATGGAATCTTTCTCTTGCTTAGGCTGGTCTCAAACTCCTGGCATCATGCAATCCACTTGCCTCAGTCTCCCAGAGTACTACAATTACAGGCATGAGCCACCCCCACTGGGCAGGGACTGTGTTCTTAAAACACTTCAAAATGCTTTCTTGCATTTTTTTTTTGATATTTCATTTCAAATATCTTGCAATACACATACTCCACAGGAACCCTTGACACTCCATTTGTTTCCTAAACACTACCAGTCTCTGACGAGCTAAAATGAATTACCTCTGATGCACAAGCTGCCTGCACAGAAAATGGCAACACTTTCCCCCGGACCATCCTGCTCACAGCATCCTAACGTGTTAAAATTAACTCCAGGTGAGGAGTTTTACAATGTCACCTGGGTTTTGATAAATCCTTACTTATCAACACACAAGATCAACCCTCCTTATATCAAACACTCACAATCACAGAAGTAAAATCAGAGGGCCAGTCAGTATCTGCCTACCTTGCCCTGGGGTCAGTCCTTTCCTAATGGAGTTAGCACCAGAAAGCCAGAACTTTAAATATTTAACAGGATTTTCCTAGTTACTGACAAAATGCCTCTGCCAGTCTCCTCCCTAGGCGGCAACACTGTCCTAATTCTCTGGTTAATACTGACAGCCACCTGGGGTCAGAAGGGTCTGAGATAGTCGGATTCTGAACCTGCTTTGATGAGTTGAGTTTCTCTAGACTAATTTCTCATCCTCTATGGTGGTTGATTCTGTGGGTCAAGAGTATCCAATCATTTGGTCAAATACCAACCTAGATGGTGCTGCAACATTTTGGTTTTTATTTTCCAGATGAGATTAACATTCACATCAGTAGACTTTGAGTAAAGCAGATTTTGTCCATAATGTGGGTGGGCCTCACCCAATCAGTCAAAGGACTTAAGAGAAAGACTGAAGTCCCTTGAGGAAGAAGGAATAGAAGGAATTCTGCCATCAGACTGCCTTGGGATTCAGACCGTAAGTTCATCCCTTGCCCGAATTTCCAGCCTGCCAACCTGCCTTATACATTTCATATTTGTCAGCCCCAGCAATTACATAAGCCAATTTCAAAAAAAGAAAAACAAAAAAGAAGCCCACAATGACAGGACATGTCAAAGAGACATAGGAACCACCTGAAAGGACCCTAACAGCCAAAGCTGGAATGGTCAGAACAACAAAATAAAGCAATATTGGATTATAATCCTAAGTATAAAATCACCATCCGTTGATTATATTATATCACCACTGATATAAATAAATGATTGACTAAATATATAACAAAGAAAAAAATATATATAAAAAAATAAACTCTGAAGAGCTCCACAAGCCCCAGGAGATGGACCTATCTCCAGGCCATAGGACACAGTGGGACACACAGAAGGTACTTAATGACTAGCAGTGGGTTGAGCACAGAATGGAAGGTGGAGGTTGCAAGGGTAGCTGCTGGCTGGGCCACCAGAGTCTCCCTCAGTCAGAGCCAGCTGGTGTGCACATTGGTCCCACTCCTGGGGGCCCCTCTGCCTCCACTCCCTTCCATACTCCTGCAGGGGAAGGAAGCTTCCCTCAGCCCAGCTGGGTCACTATCTCTCTGGGCTCCCAGAGCCGGAATGATTCTCTTCATCACCAAAGGCCAATCCTCTCTCCCTCACCAAATGAGGCCAGCAGCCCCAGAGGACAGGATGAAGGGATCAGCAACTGGGATATGGGGACAACCAGCTCTGGCCTGTGTCCTGACCACTGACTCCATGCCCACATGCACCCTAGACTGTGGGCCTTTCCAAGTTGAGTATTCTGCCTCACTCAGAGTGCTCATGAGTGTTGCTGGACACTTGGGATTGTATGAACACAATTCACTTCCCCTCTACACTGCCTCCTCAGGCCCTGCTCCCCCCACACTGTTTTCTGAACCTCTGATGCAAAGTGCCCAGTGCTATTGTACTGCAAGCTCCCTGTGCCTCTCTGCTCCCATCTTGCTTGAGGGCAGGGGCTGTTTCTGAGTCATTTCCAAACACGTGTCACCCAGCCCAGGGGTGCATATGCATGCAGGGGGCTTGCTGAATGAATGAATGACACATTTACCACAGTCCCTCCTCCTATGGTGTTCTGGGGGCATGCTGTGCTGAAATAACAACACTTTAAATGTGGCTTTGACAGTTACGAGATTACATAACAGTAACACTGAAATGCCACTGTAAACTTTACATTTATGTGCTTCAGACCAGCCAACAAACACATTGCTGAATTCGTGGTGAAGAGCTTCCTAAAGAGCCCCTGAGGGTGGCTGGAGTGAGAAAATAGGCAGCCAGGATGTGTCCCTGTGGAAATTCCTGCCCATCCCAGGGGTGAGGAGGCAGCCTGGTGACACAGAGGCACAGCCTAGGCCTCCCACAGGCCTGGCTTCCAAACTGGCACCACAACCTTACTGTGCTGACCTGGGGTTTGGGCTGAACTGTGTCCCCTGAAATTCATATGTTGAAGTCCTAGCTCCAGAATGTGACTATATTTGGGGATAGAAGCTTTGAAAAGGTAATTAACGTAAAATGGGCACATGAGAGTGGGCCTTCATCCGATCTGAAAGGTGCCCTTGTAAGAGGAGATACAGATACAGACACAGAGAGGGCCATGTGAGGACAGAGGCCTAGAGACCTCCAAAGTAGCCAATCCCACACACCCCTCCAGCATCTAGGCCCGTGAGACAAGTATCCACTGCTCAAGCCACCCAGTCTGTGGGACTTTGCTACAGTGGCCCACAGGCTACCATGCCTGGGCACATCCCCTCACCTTCCCAACCTTTCACTCTGTGAACTAAATAAAATCCTAAGATCCCAGTTGACAGATGGACCCCCTCGCCTTGGCCAAGAGGACCCCAGAAAAACCTTAAAGCTAATTTGCCAGACATGAGGAAAAGTGAGGTCAGACAGGCCCTGTCATGCTCCCTCAGTTTTGGAGTTATGCTTTGTAATAATAAGACTCTAAACCATCAGCAGGCCTACGACCGTGCATGATGGATTAACCCACACCTCCAGGCCAACAGATCACTCAGCAGATCACATGTGTCTCGGTAAATGTCTAGCGGGTTATCTCTGATTACCAGTCATCCTTAAGCTAAAATATTCTCAGCCTGTAGACAAAGCCTCATTTCTCTAACCAATTGTAAATCCAAAAAACTTTAAACCTACCTATAACTTGTAAGCCCGCCCCTTTGAGATGTCCTGCCTTTCTGGGCCAGACCAGTAATGCCTTCCATGTATTGACTTATGATCTTCCCTGTAATTCCTGTCTCCACAAATGTGTAGAACCAAACCGTAACCTGCTATCACAGACCCATCTTCTCAGAATCTCTGGACAAAATGTGCTTCGGGCCTTCAGTCACGTATACTCAACTCAGAACAAACCTCTTTAAATAACAGTTTGGCCTTACTCCTGTTATCAGCTTGCTCATGTGTACCACGGAGGAGGTCATCCCGACCTCACAGGTACTTCAAGTCTCATCAGATCCTCTAAAGCACCCAGTATTGTCTGCACGGAAGACACAGATGTCACGCTGTCTCCTGAGTGAGCATGTGGCAGACAGCACCCAATCCTCGCGTATGCCTATCTCATTCATTTCTCAAACAATCCAGGAGGCAGAAACCTTATGCCTCAGAGGTGCCCCTACAGATAGGAAAGCTGTGGCAGGGATAGGTACATGGCTCAGCCCAAGACTTGAAGGCAGGTAGGTGGCAGACATGGGGATAGGGGCTGGAGCCCTGGCAGTCAGACTGGGTGTGCAGCTTCCCTCATCACCACAGCTGCTGTTACTACTTCTAGATCCGATCTGCTAGTCCCTGGAACCCTGGCCACTCACCTGGCAGCCCTGAAAGATCCCTGGCGGGTGACCTAGCCTGGGTATGGAAAGGCTGCCATCACCAGCAGCTGTGGCTGAAAAGAGGCTGACTGCATTAGACCTGGAGTCCCAAATGCTCGGGGAGGAGGGAGGTGCATCTGTGCCCAGACCCCAGGTTGGGAACTCAGCCTCTGTCCTTGTAGTTATCCTGGGTGGTACTGGAGCCAGAGCCAGGCCCAGGCCCAGGCCACAGTCCTCTCCTCACCTGGGAGCTGGGACCCCTCCCCCACCCTCCAGTAGCTGCCTGAGTCCCAGCTCAACTACACAGCCTCCTCCCCCCTGCTCCAGTACTACAGCAGGGGCTGAAGAGCACTTCAGGACTTTGAGTAGAGTCTCCCAAATCAGGACAGATCCTCACCTGCTCAAGACACCCAGGAACAAGCCTGAACCGCCATCCCCTTTCTATCCTCCGCATGGATGGCTCCTCTCTGCACTCTGAGCCCTAGCTCACTTCACCCTCACACCCACCCAAGTCATAGCCACACGATAAAAAGGACTGTGGCAGGGTCTGGGCACCAGACACCAACTGGCTTTTTTATTTTTTTGGCTGGGGCTGGGTTTGAACTCGCCACCTCCGGCATATGAGGCCAGCGCCTTACTCCTTTGAGCCACAGCTGCCGCCCCCAACTGGGCTTTTTGTTATAGCCATTACATCAGATCTTCACAAGCATCTTAAATAGGACTGTTATTATTACATGGTGTATCAGATAAAAATACAGAGACCAAGCCACTTGCCCAGGATCATGAAGCCAGGTAGGGACCAAGTTGAGGGCTTAGTGATTTTCAACCAGTGTGGCTTGATGAGTGTAGAAA